GCTAAGAGTGTGCTGAAGACAGCGGAGAAAAGTGCGTTGCCCGCTCCCAGTCAAGTTTCGACTACTAAGACTACTGTACACGGCACTCCAGTTGTGTAGGGTATAGGATGCGATGCTCTAGTATTACACAGACTCCAAGGTACTGTGATCCCCTCACTCTACAGCGACATGTTGATGTTGCCATGGCTGAGCACGAGGACGAGGAGGCTGCCGAGAAACGTAGGCAGCAAGAGGTAACATCCCGTCTGTTAGGTATGATGACCCATCTATGTTCCTGTTGCAGCCCGAAGTCGACGAGGACGGCTTCACGGTGGTTCGTGGTACTGGTGTCACCCGCTCTGCAGACGGCCTTGCGGTTAAGGGCTACAGAGTCCCAACTGCAGCAACAACAGCCGTGGACTACGGCGAGCTTTTCGGAGGTGCTGCGTCCCTTCCCTTGGGATCTATTGATCCCCGATTTCATATGTGCTCAGGTATCGGGCATGGAGCGAGTCAGCAGCGAAAACTGGAGAAGAAGAGGGCGAAGAAAATGCAGGTGAGTTTGAGAATCACGAACTGGAGTAGTTATTTATCGCGGACAAGATTTGGTTTGATTTTCTATGCGAAATATTTCTGCGAGATGTTGGGAGTCTTACACTGTGTCTTGGACGCAAGTTTCAGTGGAGAAGGAAGAATTCGGTACATTTTGGCCGTTGCCAGGTAATGGACTTCTATCGATTCCAGCATAGAGAGAGGAAGAGAGCCGAGTTCATAGAGGAGCAGAAGAGGAACACTCAGGATCAGGAGTAATAGTATCCATGGCCGCATGGACCAGAAGGCACCGATCGTTTTCAGGACCGTCTCTGCGATGAAGAAGAGACGTCTCTTCGAGATTAAATGATTCCGTACCATCACATTTCCTGTCGAACTGGGCAGTAACGTTTCATTCCCACCTGTGCAAAACGCGTCGAGTTCATCGAGTTGCGCTGACATTGGTGGTGCCACCATCAGCCGTCAACAGATCATGGCTACTCCAGATGTCGAGTATGAAGAGAGACACCTTTAAATTGGCAGGGAACGGAGCCACCCTCTTCCATCACCAGCTTGGTACGCACCTGCAACACTCCCGAGAAGCTGTCATCAGGCTGGCATGGGAAGGACCAGTGCATTGACCCAGAAGGGACGAACAGCTACATATCATTCCGACAGACGCCAGTGGTGTCACACCACGATAAACCCTTTCCCATTGTAAACTTTGCCTTAATGCGTTTCCAGTGTGAGCCATGACCTACTTGCAGGGTTAACGGGAAAATCCCGTCCCATCCACTGACGAACGCGGCGCTGTTATAGCAGGAAATGTTCTCGAACTGTACAGAACTCAGAGACCTCATCGGATTCCAAGATTCTTGCTAACTCTGGTGAAACTACCACTACGACGTGCCTATCCTAGCTGCCTGAGACACCGCAGGCTCTGTCACTCTTCAGCCTCGAGTAGTTCACAGTTGTTCTTCCCTCTTCTCTGGCAATTGTTCGATAGGCATAGGCTTGTGAGTTTTCAGATGAGCCCGAATATGAACTAACCTACCATGCATATCGCCTCCCCTAGAAACAGAAGTATGATAGCTGATTGGTTCCATGAAGGTCCATTTATGGGGCTAGTTCAAGGACGAATGTATTGAGACTTACTGTTAGATGGGAACGAGCTCAGAGACCTCCTCGTGCTGTTCCTGGAAACTCAACTATAATGTTTTATTTTTTTCTTTTTTCTCTCTAACTTTTATGGAGGGCTTCTAGATTATCTCCATTTGAGTGGTTTCACAACACCCTAGTTTATTGACCTTCGTGGTTGACCTGGTGTTAATAACACCGTGTTATAACTAGGATGTTGTATATAGGAGATGAAGTTTAGAAGCGCCACGGGTTTGATAAACCAGTGGCAACCACCCAAACCTCCATATTACTGAACACAATATAGGTGGTTACAGTAAATCCATAAATAAGGAGTTGAATCGAGACTTCGACAGTTTCACTCCTACGCGAGAAACTGAATTTCGTGGCGCGTGACGCTTTTCGGCCCCCCATCAGACCGACTTCGAGGAATCGGCCAAGACTATCGCTGCAGTTGTATCATATTGTAAATGGCGTATTCCCAATCTGGGTATTCCAACTTCCAGTCCCGGATCGAGGGCTACGGCAACACAGCCTATGATGGGCAAGATGAGTCCCTTCAAAGTCGTGCTTCTGCGGTAGTACGGCATCATCATCCTACTGGGCATCATCACTGCTAGAAATCTTCAGGCTGGTTCCAAATTGGCTTCCGAAGTCGGGGCTACAGTATCCGCATTCCAGGATGGCAGTATGTATAGCACTATCAGGGAGCAGGCTGGAGAGGCTGCAAGTAGTGTTGGGGAGTGGGGATAATTTAAAATTTATAAACTTAGTCAAGTTTGTACTGAGCTCAGTGTTACTGTGTAATGCAGTGTGTCGCCGTTGAGTGAAAGCCATGAATACACGGTCATTGTAGTGTACAGCGACTCGCTATAGCATCTGAAGGCTGAATAGTCTCGTATGATCTTGATGACCTCGTATGTCACTCTATTGAGACTTTCCTTAGGTGTGATATCTCAAGCCGCCTGGGGAGTGGCCGAATGGTTCCGTCCCTCTACGACGTCCAACGGTTACTCGACTCCTGGCAATGCTTATGTCAATAACAACGTCCCTTCGTACAGTACTCCCACCGCACCACCGCAATCAGCATACCCTGGCTATGGCAACAGCTCTGGCTACAGTGCTCAACCTTCTAGGAAGCCTTGGGGAAATAACGTTACCCCATCGGTCACTCCCGCACGGTTGAGCAGTCCGCCTGTCCCGGTTCAACCGGTAGCTGAGGCCAGCTCGACGGCCCGTGGGGTCTCTGGGGCTCTGCCCAAAGGAAAATACGAAGCCCAGTTGGTGAAGCAGGTGCTCGGAAGGGGGTTTACAAGTTGTCTGAGACTCTGCATCAGGTCACTGCTCCTGGGGGCACTCGGGTGAAACCATCCGAAGCTGTTTTGCGTGAGTTCTACCACAAAGTAAGGAATTTGGACTTGGCAGTTGTGGGTAAAGAGCTTGCCAAAACCATGAACGCAACGGGAGCAACGTGGCAGCACCGATTGAGAGTAAATACACACCGCCGCCTTAGTGAGTTGCCAGGGTTAGTCTTAGGTCCTCTATGTCGTAGATGGGCT